TCTGTCACTTGCTAACCCTCAGGTGTTTGGCAGGATACATACAGTTTCTGAGGATCAGTTTCTTCACCTGTAAATTGGGTGTAATGATAATACCTACTTTACAGGATTTTTGGAGAGAATTTATTAAGATACTCCATGAATGGCACTTAATACAATTTCTAACATACAGTAAGTGTTTCATAATCACTTCCTGGTAGAAGGAATAGAAACTTGATTTATTCCCACTAGGAGTGACCATGGGAAAAGAGAAGGGTCAAATTTGAGAGAGATTTAGAATTAGTGGCCACTGAATATGGTTAGAGCCAAAGAGGAGATGATCAAAGCTATGAGTTCTATCTACGATGATAGGACAGTGAGTATACTGGCAAAAGAGCTAGGGAGACAAGAAAGACTGGTTTATAAGCAAGAGTTGAGGTGGGAAAAGAGAAGATGATGAACAAAGTTTAGATATGTTTAATTTGAAGTATCTGTTAAACGTGCAGATGACGTTTTATGAAGTTGAGGGTCTGAGACATAACGGGTAGTTGGAACCACGGGAGAATAAGATTTCTTAGATCAAATGCACAGGTGAACATTACAGAGAGGCTGAAAAATTTTAATTTATTTACCTGGCATTCAAAGGTATTCTTATTAGCCTGTATAGACTCCAGCATAAGAAGTACTAGGTTTTTGGCATCTGACAGGTGGTAACATAGAAAAACAAAAAAAATCTATAAGAGGTGGGACCCAAGTTCAGGATACTAACCTAGCCCCAGGGCAGATCTGTTGGGAATTGGAGTCAGAGGGAGGGTGTTCCCAGGCCAAATCTCAGTGTCCCTGGGGAACTGTCAATCTTGGTCCTCATCCAAATTAGCTACTATCTCTGAAGGGCCCGATCTGGGGTAGGAGTGGGTGTCCCATGAGAGGTAGTTTTTGAAGTTGGGTGGATAGCAAGGTTACAGTTTCAGATATGGATCAGTCATGTGTGAGGATATAGGGAACAAAACCTAATCCTCAGGAGAAGGGCTTATATCAGAGCCCAGGCAAGCAGAATGGAACTCAGGGTAAGGCTTTGGTACCAGTGGATTGCAAATCAGGTGGAAACACAGTCTCACATAAACACGGGCTGAGGGAAAGACATGTGGCTCAGTGGGTGTAGAAACCCCTGCCCTCGCCCAGAACCCAGGGTTAGGGCCAGAAGAGCATTCTAGACCTTACCCTCCAGTGGGAATGGGGTTCCTAATAGGTTTGGCCTGGGCAGGCTTGGGACCTGCGTGGCATTCATCCTACATTTTGATGCTTCTAGAGCTAACACAGGGATTGGCATCTTCAGCTTTCTCTCTAACTCTTCACTTTTATGGTCCTCAAAGATCCAATAAACTGACATTTCCTTGAAATTCCTAGATCCGTCCTCTCCAGCTATCCAGATCTATCCTTAGCTTAGATTCCCAAGGTTTCCATTATACCTGCATATGTATACATCTCTGTGTATGTGTACACACACTCAGGGTACCCTCGGTTTCCAGCTTCCAGGAGCAGCAACAGCTACATTTATTGAGTGCTTACTGTATACCAGTGTTATCCTAAGTGCTTAGGACAAAATCTTTTTTTTTTTTTTTTTGCGGTACGCGGGCCTCTCACTGTCGTGGCCTCTCCTGTTGCGGAGCACAGGCTCCGGACGCGCAGGCTCAGCGGCATGTGGGATCTTCCCGGACCGGGGCATGAACCCGTGTCCCCTGCATCGGCAGGTGGACTCCCAACCACTGCGCCACCAGGGAAGCCCAGGATAAAATCTTATTTAACCCTCAAACAGCTCCATAAGATAGTTACTATTATTCTGGTTTTACCAGTAAGGAAACTGAAAGTCCTAAGACTTAAGTAATTTGCCTTATGTCATGCAGCTAGGAAGTGGTAGGGCTTGGATTCTGACTTAGGACTCACTCTAAAATCCATGCCTTTAATTATCATGCTGTAAAGAGGCAGATGTTTCTGAAAACATATTCTTTATTCTTTGGAACATGAACTTATGTGTGTGTCATAGAAGCTGTGAATTGACTAACCTCTATTAATAATTAAGGGAGTGCACAATTTTAAAAAATAATAATTAAGGGAGCTGAATGGCTTGGTCAAGTAGCTAATCCATTAACAGAGAACAGAGCTGAGGAGGAGGTTATTCTTAGTAATCATCTAATGAAGAAAACCCCATACTTAACTCTCTCAAAAAAACCAAAAACAACCCTCCCCCCCAACACTTTTGTCTGCACCTGCCTCCTTTGCTGGTTTCATTTATCTTGGAATGCTAAGGAAATGTGATTTCCCAGGAAGAGCCTGGACAGGTAGCAGAGAAGAAAGGTGGTTGGTCAGCTACCGAGCATTGTGCTGGGAACAATGCCTGTGATTGGTTATCCAGTCTCAACCACTGCTAACTGAAGACACTTCAACTCTCTGTCCCATTTTGTTACCTGGAAAACTGGAGCGTGAATAAGGTTTTGAAGAAGAACTACAAGGTTAAAAATTAATGCAATAGAATTTAAGGAGAAACTGTTAAAAAAAAAAAAGAAAAGCCTTTTCCTCATCCAGGTGTGTGAGTTGGAAAGAGTGGAATCAGCCACACCAACATTTGGGGGTGGTGAAGGGAAGCAGTGGAGCCTGGGAACTAGGGTTCTTTTCTGAACTGGGGTTCTTTTCTAGGAATTATTTGCCCCTCAGTGGGGCTGATCTACATAATTTGGCTGTAATCAAACCTATTAGTGGTGGATGTTCATCGAGATTCAGGAGCCTTAGAATGGGAGGTGAGGCAAAAGGCAGGAAAGGTGAGGTAGGATTTGCATTTGAGATCTCCCCTCTACTGGTCATGGTCAAGGTTCTCTGTTACAGAGTTCACTCTCTGCAGGCACCCAGAGAGAGAGAGAAGGTTTGTTAACAACTCTCTTGAGTAAGGAATATGAGGCTCATTTTACAGGTGAGTATTGCTTAAGAGGCTTCATTAAGGTCTCACCATTAGTACAATGGCCAGATGAGATTCAGAGCCCTATCTTTTGATGCCAATGCTCTCTTACTATACTATGCTGTTTATAAGTCATTTAACCCGTTTTCTCTGCAAAGTCCTAGAAATTCCCGTGTTAATAGTCATTCATTTGCTCACCCATTCCTTCATTTATTCCATAGTAGCTATCGAGCACTTAGGTTCGAAACACTAAATCTCAAATATTCTGTTGCATTCTCTTCCCAATTCCATAGAATGCAGAAACCTTTTCTTCCTAACAGGAATTAGAATCTAGTTTTCACAGTGCTTTCATGGAAGAGAGGCACTGGAATTAGAACCTAGTTTTCACAGTGCTTTCATGGAAGAGAGGCACTGGTCTGGAACTCAGAAGTAGGTACAAATATGGTATCTTGCCCTTGTTAAGAGAGCTTCTATAAAGACAGTTTCATGAATAAGTGCATGTTTGAGCTGTGAGAGTGAGTTTGCTTTGTGGGATGTCATTGGGACCATGGGCAATAGTGAAGAACAGTAGGCTTCCCCTGGAAACTAGCCCTTTCTTGTATGTCTCAAGTCCACCTGCAATTCTAGGGTGAAACTCTTTGCCTCAAGCTACCTGAAGCTGGCTTGGCAGGCTCCTGGATTCAACTCTGAACCTCTTTATCATGTCTTTCTATTCATATTCCGTTTTTCTGCCTCTCATCGTGATTCTACTTCTGCTTCTAACCTCAGATCAAGCTAGAAACTCTTAACTCTCCCATTCACCTGAAGAAGTTATGTTCTCTTTGCCTGGAATTTCTAGATCTTACCATTGAGTTCATAGAAGCCCTTTGCCTCTCAAACACTCCCCTGGGCTTTCATTCACTGAAATTTCCCTCTCTTTCTTGGACACCAAGCCTCAAACTGATCTTTTTAAACACTTAAACTTCTCATCTACTTTCTAGTCTCCCCCCACCCTTTTTTGGATTACCCTTCAAAGCTTTTGAACTTAGTCTACTGCTTTTGATCCAAAATTCTCCATTCCTCTCAAAGCCTTCTTTTCCCCTTAATCTCTGTCTTGTTTGCTGGGTCACCAGCTGGAAGGGAAGTCACTTCCTCCTGAAGTCATATGTCCTGGCTTCACTGTCCTCATTTATCAGCTAGCTGTTGAGTATCTATGGGTTTCACCCAGGACAGCAAGATAAGACACATTCCTTACCTGACCCGACAAGTCTGATGGAGGCATGAAAATAAGTACGAAATTATTATAGTAAATGTCTAGAGGAGAATGCTGGGGATACTGATGGCGCAAAGGAGGAAGTGACAAATGGATTGACTGGTCACAGAAGACTTGACAAGAAGCCTTTGAATTGGTTTTGACAGATGGAAAAGAGTTTCTCAGGAAGAGAAGTGAGGAAAAAGCATTCCATAAACAAGAAATATCACATGCCAAGATCTAGAGGTGTGATATACCACGTCCCACTTGGGGGAACCGTTAGTTTGGTATCATCGCAGGTTGGTGCTCAAATGGAGGTGCTGCAAGATGTGAGGCAGAGGAGGAATAGTTGATGGGGCACCTTAAATGCCTTGCCAAGAACTTTGGGTTTTATCCTGAAGGCCATGGAGGATGAGTGAAGGGTTTTAAGAAGGAGAGCCATAACAGTCAGATTTAGAAAGATAACCTGAACTTATAGCAAGGAGAATGGACTGCATGTGGGCAGCTGCCTGCAGGGAGGCCAGACGAGAGATTATTGCAAAATTATCAGCAAGAAATGAGGAGAGCGTACACACAAGCAATGGTAGTGGGGTTAAAGAAGGGGAAGGAAATATTAAAGATGTTAAGAGGTCAAGTTGACACGACTTTGTGACCAGTTGGACACTGGGAGTGAAGGCAGGTTTCTGGACAAGGCAACCAGGTAGATATTGATGCTCTTCATTGTGATGGAGAAAACAAGGGGAGAGACAGGTTAGGGAGGTAAGGTGGAAAGGCACACCTATGATATGTGAGGTGAGGTCCAGGACACTGATACCATTTGGACATGTTCATTCTATTTTGCAGCCATAGCTGGAGGCCTTCAGGTCACAGTGCCCGACAAGAAGAAGGTGGCCATGCTCTTCCAGCCCACTGTGCTTCGCTGCCACTTCTCCACGTCCTCCCATCAGCCTGCAGTCGTGCAGTGGAAATTCAAGTCCTACTGCCAGGATCGCATGGGGGAATCCTTGGGCATGTCTTCTCCCCGGGCCCAATCTCTCAGCAAAAGAAACCTGGAATGGGACCCCTACTTGGATTGTTTAGACAGTAGGAGGACTGTTCGAGTGGTAGCTTCCAAACAGGGCTCGACCGTGACCCTGGGAGATTTCTACAGGGGCAGAGAGATCACAATTGTTCATGGTAATAATGTCTCTGTTTTGAATCTAGGGAAGATTGGTTCCATTCTTCCCAGATACAAGAGGATGTCAGCCTTGCGCCCTTTCAATCCCTCAAGACTTTGATTTTATGGGGGATGGGAGTATCAAGAAACCTAGCAAATCGCTTTAATGGGATGGCGTGGAGAGGAAGGATGGAGGCTTGTAATATCAAGAGAAGACAGAGATGAGCTTTGGAAATAGTCTTTCATGAGCCTGACCTCCAGCCTGAGGAATTTATTATCAGAACTGAATTGAAATGTGTTCTAGTGAAAGCTTTCTCAGTCAAATACCTCACACCTTGACACCAGCCTTTATTGCCCTTTCCTTAACTCAGAAAGCAGACTTCCCTAAGAAGTTCCTCTGCTGGGAGAAGGGATGTATGTGTACAAGTTTCAGAGCCAGGTAGATGCCATGGCCCAAGCCTCAGGTAGTTTTACATCAGTTCCACCCTTTTTCCTGCTCCCTACAGCTTTGGGCAAGGAAAAGTTCCAAATTTTGAAGAACTCCTGTGAACCCAGCTCATTTCCAGGAGTCCAGGTTAATTCTGGAATTTACTTGGCTTTCAAGGGCCTCTGCAGGCCTGGTTGAAAGCAGTCTTCTATTCCAGAAACCAGACTGGAACTAAACCAGTTTCTGGGGGCGCTCTAATTCTCACCCCTTAGGGATGCTAGCTTTTATTACTGTTTCGTTGTTTGTTTTAAATAAAGCAAACATCTCGTCAAACACCATCCGGGTAAAGAAATAGAACAGTACAGACACCCAGAAGGGCTGCCCCCCCCCCGCCGCCATTGTTTAGTGTTTTCCTTCAGAGGACAGAGTTTAGGACCCGGTCCTTCTCTTTGTGATAACAGATGCAGATCTTCAAATTGGAAAACTCATGTGGGGAGACAGCGGACTCTATTACTGTATCATCACCACCCCTGATGACCTGGAGGGCAAGAACGAGGACTCGGTGGAACTGCTGGTGTTGGGTAAGTGACAACCCTCAGTAACATTTTCATCTTAGACTGCTTGCACTGTTCCCTCTTCTCGCTTCTCGTCCCTGCGTGTGTTAGCAGGTTGCACGTACAGGCTTTACCTTTGGTGCACAGACAAACCAGTTTTAGAATATGTTCTTTATGAGCAGTAGTTGTATTTATTATATTTTGTTTCTTGGTGTCTATGGCCCACATTTTACCATTTTCCTGAATGTTTCTTCTGCTTTCTTACTTTTTTCCCCTCCTTTCCACTTGCACCTTTAACCCTGATTTCTCTCTGCTCTTATTCTTTACATATGCTAATGATTGAGGAAAATGCCAGAGGCCTTTGAAGCAGGGTAGAGACAGCTGAGAGATAAGAATTCGCTGGTGTGCTAGGCTCTCCTGAGACAAAGGAATCTTTTCCCATTCAATTATCTCCACTTAAGACGATCCTAAGGAAAGATGGCTGTAAACTTTTAATAATAAAAGGTGCTCAGTGAAAAGAGCTATGGGGGAGACGTAATAGTGTTTAATTGGAAGGCAAATTTCTTGAACCCTAAAAGTGTCCAAGTTATTCGCAAAGCAACTATAATCTAATCCTTATTAATATTAATTTCTTCATAAATGAAAACTCATTACTTCTGGGTACTTTTCTCTTTTGTGGATTGGAGGAATATCAGTGGGAGATGACCTCCTTGTATGAAACTGAAAATTGAGCACATATTTCGTGCTCTATAAATGTTGGCTGGACAAAAAAATTAGAATAAAACATACAGAAATTAAGAAAAGGAACAACATTAATTGTAGGATAAAAGGTAAATCCTTGAAGCCATTTTACATTTTTTTGTAGCTTCCAAGAAACCAGGTCTTAACAATTTGGGGGGAATATTTAAGGTGCTTTCTTTTAGAAGCAAATGAGGTTGAAGGTTAATTTTTACCCTCTGTGGGAAACTCAGTGCCCCAGGAGAAAATGGAATTTGCTTAAGATTTTTAGTTTTACTCTATCATGACTTTGACAAATCAACTGTACTGCTTGCCTTAATTTTATAGTTTACAAAATGGATTAAGGTAATAATTATTTATTAATGATTAACCCTTTAATTAATAATAATTAGCCCTTTTTAGACAGTTAGATTAATTTCAAATACATGTTTACTCAAATACATGAGTCCAGTATATGAAGTTTAACTGCTGTGATCTGTAAAAGAATGGGAAATACGACATATATTCCAAAGGAAATAAAAATGTAAAAGGCTTATATTGACATTGTAGAAGACTACAGGGCAATCAGATTCGGGATCTGCTGTGACTCTGTAGGGAATAAAAAGATAAATTTCTGCCTAATAACACAACTCTAATGGCTAAGTTTGAAGGAACAAGTGGCTCATTGAGCCTGCAATTAGCTAATTGTGAACACAGTTATTTGGGCAGTGCAACCATTTGCAGCAAAGTAATTGCCTGCGCAGGAAAAGGAGGCCAGGTAAAAGCCACTTTAAATAATTTGGTCCCAGATCTGCAAATGTGGGGAAATAAATAGAGTGAAAGCCTTGTCGTCTGAGGATGTGCTGAAGTGTATGAAGGGCATTGCTCTGGATCAAAACATACAAAGCAACTTGGGCAAAGATGCTGTCCTCAGCACCACAGGGTGGGTGAAAGGAAGACTCAGATGAAAATGGTCAACAATGATGGAAGAAAAGATAAGAACAGAAATCAGCGTTACCCTAAAAAGAACCATAAAGGGAAAGTGGGGATGCTGCAAATCAGCTCATCACAGTAGAAGCAGCATATCTGTGAGATAAACAGATACATACTAGGGTTCTTGGGGAGGAGAAACACGTAATTCTGCTATATTCCACATTAATTAGAAATTTATTCTAAATAATTAGAAATGTTCAAAGCATGGTAAATTTGCCATGCTAGTTGTGTTAGTTAATTAAAGGGGTTAGTTTGAAATCTATGAGAATTTTCTGGGTGCAGGAAGTACTGTATTTACTTCCAAATGCAACATTCTGAGTCTTCTTGGTCTTGACACCCCTTTATGGAATTTTTCAAAGTACCCTCACAGTTTAAAAAATGCTAATTATTTGGTGGTTATATCCTGCAGGCCCATTTGTTAGGTATTCTTTTTACGTGAGACTGGGAGAGCAACCTGATTTCTGAAGTCATCCTCAAGGAGATTAAGACCTCAGTGGGAAGATAACGGAGTCCACAGTTTGCTAATTACAACCTCCATAAGCCACTGAACTTAATATGAGGAATGGTAGGAGGAATTGGGAGGGTTTGGTCTAGTGAAAGAGGACTTGGGAAAGGGAACATGGGATATCTCCAGATATCTGAAGTGAAATTGTATAGAAGAGAGATTGGAAACCTACTCTGTCTGTGTGGCTAGGAAGTTACAAAGGGAGTGAGTCCATCTCAGAATAAAGAAAGAACTGTTAACAATCAGAGAGACATCTAAAGATACAATCAGTGTTCTTAGGAGTAGTAATTTCTATATCCTTAAGAAGGTGGAAGATTTTTTTATGAGTTATTATATCAGGCATTTATGTATAGGAAAAGGTGTTCAACTCAGTTATTTTTGAGTTTTATTTCAATTTTAAAATTCTTGGTTTAAAAAGTAGATGAATGTGAGTGATGTGCCTACCTTGATAAATGAGAAAATGACCTCCCAGTAATTCAGTCCTCATGACAGAGATAAAAGAGTTACAGGTTGGTTACAAGAACATACAGGGTGGTGCTCACTCACAAGGAAGCCAGCAGGAATAAACTGTGGTCTTTTGCAGTAGGTCAGGGTTAAAAGGACTAATTCCACAAGAATGAGGATAAACTATTGATGGAGGCTTGAAGGAGCTGAAACTTGAGCTCTTCTTCAAGGATGATCAGGACAGAGGAATGAAATTAGATCTCAGGGTCAAAACAATAATTCGCAGCAGGGTGGACAATGCCTTAGAGAGGAGTGCTAGAACAGAGGGATGGGTTATGGGGAGGTGCAGCAGCACGGGTGAAAGGGTATGAGATTCTGAAGCAGAGTAATGAATTGAGAACAAACAACACAGAAACATTTCTAAGATGGAATTGATCTTGATGGATCTTGGTGACTAATGCATTAAAAAAAATGAGACAGGGATGAGTCAAAAGGACACCATGGTTTCTAGCTAGCTGGGTAGCCAACTGTTCCGTCAACCGAGAGAGAGGCCACAGTATGGAAAGCAGGTTGGAGAGGCAGGAGAATGAGTTTGGTTAAAAAAAAAAAAAATGGTACAAGTGAACTTATTTACAAAACAGAAATAGTCACAGATGTAGAAAACATGTGGAATTTGAGAGGCCTGTGGGACACCAAGGTGTAGATGTCTTGCTGACAATTAGAAATACAGGTCTGGAACTCAGTGGAGAAACTAGGATTAGAGATAATAGATTTGAGAGTCATGAATGATAGTCACAACCATGAAAGACTAGATGAGTCACTCAAGAAGATTATATAAAATGGAAAGGGTCAAGGACAGAACCTTATCAGTCTTATATTCTAGTTTGACTTCATGTGAGTGGCCACATGGGTACTGCATGTATATTTGTCTTGATTTCCCCTACGACATCGGACGCTTCTCACTAGCCCTAGAACATGAGCTCTTCAGAGGCAAGAACCAGTTCTCATTCACCTTTCTATCTGCAATGCTTAGCAGAGTGTCTAGAATAAAGAAGCTTGAATGAATGTTTTTTTAAAATGATAAATGGGCAGAATCTGTAACCAGTATTTACTTTGTGACCCTTAAATGTTAATCAGTGCTGAGTATATATTTGTTGACTTATGAAGTATTTATATAATAAATGTCTACAGTCTCAAGTGATATATAACATGGTTTAATCTCATCGGTCATGATTCTTTATCTGGGTATTTTAATTTTTACTAGTGACAGAACCATCCGGGACTATGGTTGAAAGCAACAGAAGTAGACTTTGGCTAACCTAGGCAGGAAAGGAATTCATTGGAAGGATATCAAAATTGAAAGAAAGGCTGGAAAATCAGTCTCCAAAAAGGATAATATATTAGGGTAACACTTACTAGCTTCTGTAAAAACAACCCCCGAATCTCAGTGACTTGCCACCATAGAAGTTCATTACGTCATCTTGTCATAGTCAGATGTGGGTTAGGAGGCTTTTACCTGGGCAGCTCCCTTCCAAGTATGGCGTAGGGGTCTAGGCTTCTCCATTGTTTTAGTTTGCTGTATTGGAGAACTTTGCTCCCGGCTGCACAGAAAGAAAAAGTAAGGAAGGTCATTCATGGGGGACTTTTTAGGGGTCAGTTCTGTCAGTGACATGGGTTACTTCTCCTGTTATTTTGTTTGTGTCCAGGAAGAAAGTAAAAATGTTTTGATGAACACAGCACCATTCCTGCCCCGCCAGAGACGCTCTAGGGTCTATGTAGCAAGAATTAATAGACGACGTATTTAGGGCTCCATGGACATTAAAAAAATCAACTCATCTCTTTTTTTCTGATCTTGCATTTTCTCACTCAAGAATCAGTCTCAGGAGAGAGAGTCCAGCTGGTCCAGTTGGGTAGGTGTCCACTGCTTAGCATTAGGAGATTAGAGGCTCTTGGTGGCTAGTCCATCAAGATACAGAGAAGAATTAGTTCCCCAAAGTAAATTGGGGCACTGTTACAAAAAAAAGGGAGAATGGATGTGAGATGCCCCAAAAAGCAATAAATATCCACCAAAGTGATGCCATTACTACATCTACTACTAACATTACTGTACACTGATAAGAATTTGACTTCGCAAAAATTTTCTATTATAACCTTGTAATGTACGAGAGCAGGCATTATTTCCCTTGTTTTCCAAATGCAGAAATTAATGTTCAGGTTTTGTAATTATTATCCCCTTCCAAAAGAGTGTCTTTGATCAAACCCAAGTGTTTTGATTCCCAGCCTCATCTCTTTCCACGATACCACACGACCTGTCTATATTAAGAAGCTATAGAATGCTCCCCTGCATAAGTCATGTTTTTAAAAATGT